TCTTCCTTGGGGACACATTAGTCTGTTTTTTAATGTGTTGAACTGATAAGAGAGGCTTGTCTTGTGATGCAGATGTCTTACTCAGTTCAGAATCTACTGCTTTAAATGTTAATCCCATCACAAAATTAGTTTGGCAGACCATCTAAAACTTCATTTGATCGAATTTCTGGAAAAAGTAATCTAAACTTATTTAACTGTCATAGCTACTTACTGTTGAGCTTCTTCTGTTACTAAGACATCCATCTGTGTGTCCAGACAAACACCTGCAAGTGTACACATTAGACTCTTTATTGGAGATCTATTGCTCCCTTTGTGAGGGAAAGAATGGGGAAGCAGGAGACACTTGTATTTGAATAGCATTGCTCTTTGTTGGTCAAATGTCCTCAGAAAGAATTCTAATCCTCATTACTTGTTTTGTCAAATTAGTTTCTAAACGAAATAGCACCAGTGTTTGGTTTCTGTAAAACGGGCTACCAAGCTTGTGAGACATTGCCTAGATCTTTGTAGTGCCCCTTACCCTACCTTCTCCCATTTTCCTTCATCACACTCCTCTCAAATCCATGTCACATTTGGTGAAAAAAACGCATCCAATGTTGCATTACTATGATGACAAAAAAATCTGAAGCAAAGCAACACAGAATACTAATTTCCTTTCATTTACAACTGTCTTTCTAAAATTTGCTTATGTTATTTTGACCTTAGTTTTCTACACTCTTATTGTTAACACATTTCCAAGCTGCTTGCTAGAATTGTGTGTGTGTGAAATGTGCATGTTCATGTGTGATGCACATGTGTGCACATAGGTGTGTATGCACATCCATGTATGTGCCAGTCTCTGACTGAACCTAGAGCTCATTGATTCAGGGATCAGCCTGTCTCAGCACCTTTCTGTAGCCCAGCATTGGGTTACAGATAACTGTCTGTAATGTGCCTGCTGCACAAGCGTGACTCCTGATGTTAGTGAGTTTTGTATCTCTAGCACTCACAAATACGGTATCTTCTCTATAAAATGTTCTCCTTGTCTTATTACATTGCTTCTGGTCTTCCTACAATTTTAATTTTTCTATTTCAGCAAACTAGAAAGAAGCCATTGGGGGAGAAAGGAAAGCAAGACCTTAAGGGGAGGATGGTAGAACCTAGATGCTATGAAGGAGAAAGGCAGGGGTAATGGGAAGCTTTAAGTGGGGAGTGTATGGGAGTGGAGAAAAAGATAACTAACATTAACAGCATTTGGAAAAATCCATATGTAAACGTATTCCTTCCGAAAAGAGGCATTAAAATCTGTGTAGAGTAAGCAAACACCTGAGCAGAGCCTTGAAAGATGGCAAAGATTTTACCAAAACTTTATAAAAGAGATCAACTGCAGTTCCCCTGCATGTGGAATAATGCTCTTTCCAGAAGGCATAGGTTACCAACACTGGGTACAGATATCTCCCAAGTTATCAGTCTGGCATGTCCCAGAAACAAACAAAAAAGGCTATTGCCATTGCTTTTATTTCCCCACCAGAACTTGCTGGTAAGACCCATTCCAGACCAAAACAGTATCTTCTGGACATGAGAGGGCCACTGCACTCATGAACTCACAGCAGCTGTGGTTGCCTACACACCATCAAGCCAGTCAACTGTCCACATACAGTCAGAGGAGGGCTCATGAAACATCACTCCTAGTTGAGGAGCTATTGACAGTTGACAGCTTCTGGGGAGAAACAGAGTCAGTTTTCTTTATGAGTGTGGCCCCTTGTCCATTGGCCATGCCCACCCACATGACTACATAGGCAACACAGATTGGACTATATGGATTATTGAAAAAAAAGAGGATGTGTAATTGGGAGGAGGTGGGTGTTTAGGGGTATAGTTTGGAGGAGTTAAGGGTGTTAGTATTCAGGCATGTGTACTGGCCTGTCCTTGGAGTTCTGACAGGATGTGCGCTTAGCTGCAGCCACTAAGAGCACCACCTGTCCAAATTCACTATGTTCCCTTTAAAAATGGCCCTGCCCTTTCTTTCTCCCTTTCTTCCTCTCCCTCTCTCTGTCTCTCCTTCTCTTTTCCTTTTCTCTCTCTCTCTCTCTCTCTCTCTCTCTCTCTCTCTCTCTCTCTCTCTCTCTCTCTCTCTCTCTCTCTCTCTCTCTCTCTGCCTTTCTTTCCTCTCTCCTGCTGCTCCTGTCTCCAGAGACTGGTCTCCCCCCTTCCCTTTCCCCTTTTTATGACCCCTTTCCCTAATTAAAAAAAAAAACCCACTGCCTGAACCTGTCACATGGGGTCTTTCTCTAGCATATTACTTTTAAATTGCAGCAAAGGTGAAGAGTAGGAGTGAATATTATCAAAATATAAGGTATACATGTATGAAACTCTCAAAAATTAATATATTCAAGTTATCACAACTCACCTAATGTTAAGAGCCCCATGACCTTTAAGATCCAGATATTTTCACAAGAAATTTTTTATTAAAATATGAAGAGTAGTTAACATAGATTCTGCCCAATCTCTTTTAGAAAAGAGATGAAAAATTATGTTGTTGTTAATATAAACTTGATAACAAAACCAACGACATAACAAAAATGTGCAAATATCCCATACAAAAATAGGCCTCAAAATGTAACAAAATACTAACCAAAAGCATTTATTAAGTCTTCTCTGATACTGTAAAATTTAAAATTCTGTCTATTATATTAAGTTGAAGAATAAAAAAGTACAAGCTGTAAACAATCTATATACTTGGGGAATGTAGTGGCAAGCATATCTGATAATTATGTGTTCTTTGTATTTCTTTATATGAAGAACCTTAAAATTCAACATTTTAAAGAAAAATTCAATAGCTAGGCATGTGACATATACCTATTATCCCAGCACCCCTGATGCCGAATACAGGAGGACTGATGTACGTCTAAAGACAGCTAAATATTAAAACTTTATAAATCAAATCTATAAGAGAATTGACAGAAGACACAGAGCATCTCAGCACTGGAGTCATTTAGAAAATGCAAATTAAGACCCCCCAAATGTTAGTACATAGCTGTTAGAAAAAAATAAAACAACAACGAAAAATGACACCACCAAATGATGGCAAGAATTCAGAGAAACTGAATCATTCAGTGGTGTTGGTAGTAATTTGAAATGCTTCCTCCACTCTGGAAAGCAGTTTGGCAGACTCAAAGATGAAACCTCCACTTACCGTATGTTTTCGTGATTGCTTTCCCTGGTATTTACTCAAAGGAGATGAACTTACTGCCACACAGAAATGTGCACACGAATATTTATAGAAACGTCATTCATAATTGCCAAATCTTGGAATCAACCAAGATGTCATTCCATAGGAAAAAGGATGAATAAACTGTGGTATATGCACACAATAAAATACTCATCCCTAAAAAGAAATGAGCTAGTAATTGTGGAAGACATGGAGGGAACTTGCACATCTATTGCTAAGTGAAAGAGGCCAATCTGATTTCAGCTACATGATATTCTAAGAAATAAAATAAACCATTTGATTACTGTATCCATGGCAATGGAACGTCTAGGAACCTAGAAAAGTGAAGAATTATGGTCCTTCAAAAACCTTTTCAAACTAATCATATCTTCTGCACACTGAAAGCAACCCTAGATGCTCTGCAATGGATAAACAGTTAAGCAGACTATGGTGCATTCATGTGGTTCATGTGATGGAAAGACATCACTACCTCCCAGGGAGAAAGAATAAACTATGGGTATAGGCAACAACCCAAATATATCTCCCAGGAAATATACTGTGAATGATACCCCAGGTTTATATGTAAATCACTCTGCCTATATAATGCTCTTGAAGTTCTAAAATTATCGCAATGGTGAACAATCCATCAGTGGCCATTGAGTACTACGTAGCTGGTGGCCTGTGTGAGAACTGACTGAAGCTTTACGAAGGGCAACTTGAATGATGGTTGTGATGCTGAACATCTGTATCTTGTCCTCTGCAAATCCCCCAGCGGTGATTTTGCACTATAATTTTGTAAGATGCTGTTTTTGGAAAAAGGTGTGTGTGTTATTTATAGAATCTAATTTCTTACAAATGCATGCAAATGTATAATAAACTTTTGAAAGTGAAATGTTTGATTGAAAAAATATCCTGCTGAATATAGTATAAAATTTGATGCAGAAACGCATCAGCTCTCCTGCTAGGGAGCACCAGTGCAGTGCAGTGGGAAACTATGTTGCTGGACCAGTCTTCTCAAGGAAAGACCTCCCTGTGCTCCCCTGCTGTGTGCTCTTTCTTACAACTTTGACCAAAGAGAACCTGCTCACTCAGATATATATCTAAATCTCTGATGATTTGGTTTTAGTTTTCAATATCCCAAACATTATTCGTAGCCCTACTAACTATGGATATTTTACATTTGATGCCAAGTCTCCAACAACTCTCTTTTTGTTGGTTTTGAGATTAAGTATTTTACATGTTTACTTGAGAAATACTTTACAGAACTTAGCCCCTGGAAAGTTGTATAGTGTAGAAGGATCTTGATGATATAACAAACTATAGGGAGAGCTCTTGAACCCCAGACTGATGGCTAAGAGGCCAACAGGGGACTGATTCAAACTCCATGAATGTAGTGTCAGTGAGGAGGCCTCAGAAATCTCTGGGGCCTTGGGTAGTAGATTAGTGTTCACCATGACATACAAATGGACTTTAGGAGCCCATTCCACATGGAGGGATGCTCCCTTAGCCTGGACACATGGGGAAGGGACTAGGTCCTGCCCTGGATGAAATAACAGACTCTGGAGATCCCCCCCAAGGAGGGCCTCACCCTCCCAGGGAAAAGATGTGGAGATTGAGCTGGGGTTGGGGGATAGGGATGGGTCTGGGAGGGAGAAGGGGGGAAGCTGGGATTGACATTTGAAGTATGCCTGTTTCTAATTTAAATTAAAAAAAAGGAAAAAGAAAAGAAATAAAAGGAGAAACATGTCTATTGGCCATAGAACATTGTCCTTAATCAGATTATAGGTACATCATGCATTTTTCCTTTTTTCAGAAGTTGAAGAAGCAGTGTCTCTCAGTCACCTGATTGGAGCCGAGTATCTCTCCAGAGAATTATGCTGTGAGTGAAAAAAGTGACCGCCCAAAGGTTATGACACACTAAACGACTCCCGTCTATGTAACACCCTTGAAATGGTAAAATCATAATAATTACGAACGGGTTAGTACATACTCAGGGTTTTCATGAACTCTCTTGTCCCACAACCCCATGAACTAAAACTGGTGACTTTTTATTTTTCTTCTCTCCAAACACACTTGCCAGCCATCCGTGCTCTTAAGGTCTCCTCTAGGACTTTTCACAATGCTCATGTCATAAAGCTTCCATGATGATGACAAGGAATGCCTAAATCATAAATGAAAAGTAGCTCATATAATTAAGCAGAGGCCAGAAGAGGGCATGCATCAGATCCCTGGAGTTTCTGAGTATTGTGAGCTGATTGCTGTATAGGTGTTGGGAACAGAATCCAGGTCCTCTGCAAGAACAGCAAGTGCTCTTAACTGTTCAGCCATCTCCCCAGATCCCTGAATTTCTTTTTATATAGAAAAAACTTAAGCTTCAGTCTCTGTCATTTTATAATTAATGTACACTTATATAAAATGCTTCCTATGGTTCTTCCTATGGGAAATTGCCAGGGAGGGTTTTATTAATTTAAAACCCACAGAGGTGGCAGTTTCTTTTATTCATGTGAAATATTCTACATTTAAAATTCATTTAGTTTTGAATAATAATGCATATCATTAAGCTATAGTATATCTGTTCATCCTTGGCTTTCAACTCATTTAGTTCTGTCCTGTGTATGAACGAGACAGGGTTTCTCTGTATTGTTTTCGAGGCTGTCAGTCCAGCCCAGCCTTGAACTCACAGCGATCCGCCTGCCTTTGCCTCCCGAGTGCTGGGATTAAAGGCGTGCGCCACCACCGCCCGGTGTTATATTTTACTTTAAGGATATAAAGTACCATACTTTATGTAAAGAGTTTACTTACTTACACTGAGGCTGGCCCATGTATTTATATCAGTAGATACTTAGGCAAACATTCCTAACATTCCTGTATGTTCTATGTTGTGGGCTAAGTCCTTAGAAATTCAGCTGTATGTTTTAAAATAAGGCACTTGTTATATCAATTTTGGAATTTTCATATCTAGATAAATATACAGAACAAATGGCTTTAAATAATGTCTTAATTTTAATTGGCAGGGCTCTGTGTTTTATGAATTAGATTTAACATCTGGAAATTATACACATCTGTATTTCTTGTTTTATATTTTCTTCTTTTCTCTCCCTGTTTTCTTTTTCATTTCTCTCCTGCTTTTTTTCCTATTCTACTCTCTTCCTCCTTCCTCTTCCTCCAGATCACTTTCCTATTAATGAACAGATTGAGAGCTATGTAGCCACTAGATGGTGGTACAAGCACACAGCGAGAATTATTTTGTAAACAGACTAGGTCATAGTTTTGATTTCCTGCTTAGTTTTTAAATTTCTATACACTTGAGCCCTTAAATGCCTCCTAAGGGACATCATCATGATCGCTGCTTAGTGGTTGAGCCAACATAACACTGATGTTGAGCTTTACGGCAGCTGCTGTGGACCACTTCATGTGATGGTGGGACTTTCTAAAAATGCTCATTGCTCACATACATTAACTCTTCAGTGGGATCTGTTAAGTTTCCTGAGTGATTGGGTTGGAAGGGCTTGCTTATATTCTTGACTGATTTGCAGGTCCTACAGTGTTGCAGTTGAGACTGCTTAGAATTTATAATCCTGCTTTATTTAGTTGACTGAATTTCAGTGAAGAAATGGCAGTTCCATAGCTGTTTCCTAAAATGACAGAAGGCAGCCACTTACTATGGTTGCCTGATCAGCGGCAGTTCAGAGATTTTTATGAACATGCTTCATCCATCATCCCAGTGTCTAACATGTAGTTTTTAATATCTTGGAACTTATTATAGAATTATTTTTGTATGCAAATTGCCTTAATTTTTTGAGATATATGTTTTCTCTAGAGAATGTATGGGAATCTGTGCTGTAAAAAGTTACTATCAGTAAATTGTTCTTAAATCACAGAAGAAAGGAATCTAACGATGTTGAAGGGTTTTGCTTATATTAGAGCTACATGCTAAGCTTAGCATTTAAGTCTTGAAAATAAGCTGAATGCACTCGGCACAGGATTGTGCTATCAGCAATCACCATAAACACACACACACAGCACACACACAATAAATGTACTGTGTAGTGGCACACATTCATTCGCCTGTTTGGCAGTGTCCCTATTTGGTTTGTAGGGATAGGTATATGATGCTTTCTTGTTTTATGACATGTTCTTGTCAACTGTCAAGTGCATGACTTCAAGTTTGGGCTTACTAGCTTCGATGTCAGTATTTGTAGGCAAGTGTTGAGGCAAATAACCCCATTTGTACCAGGGTTGCCTGATGTAGAAAAGCAAGACTAACGTTTTAATTGTCTGAAGGGTTTTGATAATAATGAGGCTTTCTTACCATTTAATATGTCTTGATGAAACTTTATGATCTGCTACCTACTAGCCGTGTTATGCTGCTACACCTGGAAGCCTTCATTTAAGACATTTGCTGTTTAACTGAAAGGAAATGGCTTCTTGTTATTCATTCACAGATAAGAGAAGACAAAAATAATCACTGACTAGAATTCAACAGAAGAACACTGAGTTAAGAGAAACAGTCCATAAGATGATGAGGCTATTGGCACCCTGCTCCATGAAGTAGAATCCATTGCAGCTGGGACCTTAGTCTTATTAGGAAAGATAGCCCATTTTGTGATCTGCAACGTTTAAATCAATTGAACTATAGTGAAATCTCTCCCCTGAAATGGCTATTACACAGCTTGCAACCTTTTGTTCAAGAGATTAAGTTTGCATCTCCTCACATTATCTCCTTGTAATTGGAAAACTTTCATTTTGATGGAGAAAATGTGCCAGCATCCCCGAGAGCCTTGCCACAAGCCAATGCAGTGTGCCATCTGGAGGGTGCATGCCCACATCAGGCAGCAGCCTCCTGTCGGGCTGTATCTGGAACTCTGCAATGAACAACTAATAACATCTTAAGCTCCATTTGTCTAGCTCGTGAGTGCTCTTGGCAGAGGTCATAACCAGCAGTGGTTTTCTTGATTTGCTGCATCAAATGTAATTAGGTTAAAGCACTCACTGACAGAGCCTCTGATAATGGCATAAAAGCCTCAGGCTTGAATTTACCCATCGAGTCAAATTTAAGTTTCGATCAACAAAGATGTATTAATTTCATCACCGGGACAATGGGGATTGATGAATTCTAAAGGCATGTATGTGGAGCAACACAGTTTTCCCTTCTTTGGATTTCATACTTCTTTGGCTTCTACTGAATTGAGTTTAATCAACTTTTGTTCTGGTTCCTAGCTTCTAAAAAAGTTGCTGATGTCCCCTGCTGAGAGACACAGTGCCACTTATACCCAGATCATGTTTATCTTCTGTGCCTTACCGTTGGTCACACTGTAGAAAATGATCAGACATCTTCAGCGTGTTACCTCCACATTATTGAATTCTGCCAGTTGTCTACACATAAAGACAGAAATGACACCGTGATTGACCTTTTAACCCTTGCCTGTTAAAAAACTCCAGGGTTAGCAGAGGTCTCTTCATAAATGAGTCAGTTCGAGGCTGTGAGTAAAACAGAGAACCATTGCTTAGGGTTAAATTTCGGGCAAGCTTGGGCCCAGAACACAAGACAGACGTTAGCTATTATTAAGAGCACACAAAAGGAGTGTCTGCTCTCTGCAGAAAATGAAGTGTAACAGCACAAATATTATAAAATGTGTGCTAGAGAAAGAGAGAGCTGGGGTGTGGTCTCAGCAGGAAGGCAGAGGTTCCTGGCAGGGCTGTAAGGTTGATGAAATGCATAAGGCTTTTGAACATCAGCAAAGGAGTTAAGGATGACGGGCGGGTGAAAAATCACAGGAGAGTTGCATTTTTCAAATTGATCTCCACTTCTCCTGTCCCTGGTTGTTAGAAACACTGGCTCTATTGAAGCTGGTGGAGAAATAACATCTGAAATTTCTGGGGAACAGCAGTGATTCCTGTCGACTTTGTTCCTCAATGGGGCTTGTTGTGTTGGTTTGAGTGTTTCAGGTGATTCTGCCTCTGATAAAAGCAACAGGCGTGTGTGAGGATGAGGTTAAGTAAGTGTTTATTTGAGGATTTAATATTGCACACGCCAACGGAGTACAGCAACTACCGTGCTGTGAATTTCATATTCATGTGTGGCATATTTATTTGTTGTTTACCTCTCTGCATAATGGAAATGCCATGAAAATCTGTTCCTTCTACTGCTTTAATTTTAAACGAAGCTAAATGCTATGTATAATTTTAAATTACAGATTGTTAATTTCATTCTGTCTTAAATACTCTCTATATAAGAAATGCTTATGTTCCTGCAAGAATCCATGCTTGGAAAAAAATCAAAGCATAATTCTTTCAGTAATTATATAATATGTAGGCATTAATAGATTAAAACCAGTATAATCACACCCGACAGTCCTTTTCAAATTGTATAGTTATCTGTACCATCCATATGTGTATGGTTCTCTGCAAATAGACTATGTATGCCTTTGTTACTTTCCTGCCAAATATAGTCAAAAGACCAAAGTTTGTCACCTCTGTTGATAAATTATTTGCATCTAGCTTACTTAAAATAAACCAGTGATAGACTCAATACTTCATGAAGTGGTTATGAGTTTCAGGAGCAACACAGTTTTCACCCATTTCCATGATGGTATTTCAAAGAGCCAGCCGACGGTAGAACTCAGAGCTAGTTTACCTTCTATAAATACAATGAAACAAAGCAAGGAAAATGTCAAAAAGAAAGAAACCCATAGCTGTTGTCTGTGGCTTCCCAGCTCTAGTCCAAAAATCCATTCATGTGCCATGCTTTGACTTCTGTTTTCTGACTTATCCCCGCTCTTCTCTCTTAAACTCCAGAGCCATACCGGGAGTCAGGGATGTATGTGGCCCAAGATCTGCTGAATTATTTACTTATATAACAAGCATCACTGTACAGGT